GGTCCAGAAAGGGAGCAATCTGGACCACAATCTGGACCAGCAATCTGGGAGAACAACCAGCTCCAGTTATTCTCCTTTTCTACAATTCTCTGTTAAGATCCATTTGCTCCTTAAATACACACAATTTGCTGCACGTAAGTTTTCTGCAGGACCTAAAGTTTAACGACAATCAAAGGAGGAAAAATTGACATTCCAGACCATCTGTTCATGACCTGGATTTTTTGAGGGGATCTGGTTAATGACAACAGGGTTTCCCATCAGCACAGTTTGAGAAACTTGTGCCTCTTCTCATCAATATGTTTATTTAATATTCAACCAACATATAAGCCCCACGGAGGCGGCACGGTGCTGTACACCGGGAATATGGGCATCAACATTCCTGCCCGGCATGCAGCCAGCACAACTGCACACCAACACAGCATGAGTGTGCATTGCACACATGGGTGCATCCTCTCTGTGTCTGTGGTCAAAGCATCCACTCTCACCAGCAGGCTGAGTGACACGGTAGGGGTCACCTGTCACCTCCCTCTGGGAACAGAGCAGTCCCTCCCCTGGCCCTCTTGACTGTCCTCTCTTAGAGAGCCTGGATTTTGATCTGAGCTGCCCGGCACAGATCAGGCAGGGCCCTGAGACATTGTCCCATCTGAGCCCCACTTTCCAGAGGGGTAGCCCAAGGCTACATTAGATCCTCTGGGTCCAGGGCAGGGGCGGCTGACCTGAGGATGCCCTGTCCTTGTTTGGGGGATAAGTGCCCCATGTAATGATTAATCCTGGTGGCCCAAATGCCGGTCACTCATTGACTGACAAGGCCAAAGTCTGTGGCCAAAAGAGCTGAGGCTGCTTTGGGCTTTTCTCAGAAATCACCTCTTCCCCCGCAGTTCCCTTCCTTACATGGCCCCAGCCCTATGCCCTTCCTGCTGGCCTCAGGGACCAGGCCTGAACGGGAGGCTGTGGACTCCCAGTTGGTTGTCCCAGGCTCTGGCTTCTGAGTTCCAGACCTGAAGCTCGGAGGTTGGCTTCAGACTTCAGGTCCTGGCCTTCATGCTCTGGGCCTGGAGCTTGTCTCCAATTTCTGGGGTCCCCACTCTGGTTCTGGCCTCAAGTGGGCTCCAGTATCTGAGTTCCAGTCTCGGGCTTCAGTTTTAGACATCAGATGTCAAGCTCGGGGCTCTGGTTCTTGGCACTGGGCTCTGGGTTCTGAGCCCTAATCTTCAATTTCAGATTCCAGACACCAGGTTGGGCTTCTGACTCTTGCCTCCAGGTTCTGGGTCTGTGCTTCAGGCCCCAGATCCAGGCTTTGTGCTCCAGATTCCAAGCTCCAGTTCCACACTCCAAGCTTCAGGTTTTTGGTCTGGGTTCTGGGTTCCTTCAGTGCTTTGGCAATGGGGCAGGAAGATGGGGGCCTCCTCGGCTTGTAGGGTTACCCCGGTCCACCAATCTTAGCTGGCCACTTTGTCCTAGCAGCTGGCACTCTGGGCTGGCCTGCAGGTAGGACGCTCATTCACCTCCTTGGCTTTCTGTCTCCGCTTTACCCCCAAGCCAGTTCTCTGGAGACAGGAGTTGAGATGGTCACAGAGCACCACTCACTCAGTCCCTCCCTGCAGGAGTCAGGACACATGCACATGTTCATGTCCCTAGCTCTTCTTGGACACCCCCAGGACCATGGTGGACATGAATGGCGACCCCTGTGGTTGTACAGTGGTACGGGCCTGTGCCCAGCTCTGGCTACATTTGACTCACTGTAACCAACCATATGTGTTCCTCCCCATCTGGGCCTTCATTTCCCTGTGGAAGCTGAATTCCAGCCTCTAATCCCCCAGAAGTCTGAGTCACCTGATCACCAGACCAGGCCCCCTACCGGGTGCACTCTGTGCTCGCCCTTGGGGGTGGGGTGGCTGTCCCCAGAGAACAGTGCATCAGCACTTGCAGCCCAGCTCCAGGTGAGCAGCCAATGCCTGTAACTGCCCCCACGCTGGCCCAGAGCCAAGGTCACTGTGTGCCCTGTTCTCGCCCTGTGCCCATCCCGTACCCCAAGGCTATTAAGGTGGGTGGGGGGACAAGAGACAGATTCTTAGAGGCTTGGAGCCACATGGGGTTGGGCCCCACGGGTGTCCTTGAGGAAGTCACGCCTCCTCTCTCAGACTGTGAACTCTGTAGGATGGGGGTGTTGGAGGCTGCAGAGTGGTCAGCAGATGTGTGTTCGCTCCCTTCCTTCACACTGGGTGCTGGGTGAACAGGCCGACTCCTCTCCGGGCTTCCCACCTGGTGGGATGAGGGGAAGCAGCTCTGCTACCTTTCCCGACCACCCAGGAGTCCACCTCTGTGCAGTGACTTTGAAACATGGCCTCAGGGGTTAACCAGCTGGTGCTCCTGGCCCCCTTCCTTGTAGCTGGGGCCTGGCCAGGCTGGGACAGTGAGGGCTCAGGGCTGCTTCAGGGGGCATGATGGGGAGGAGATCACAAGGGGATTGTGGCAGAGGGACACACCCAGCCAGTCAAAATGGGCTGAGGGGGCAGTGGGCTGAAGCCCCTAATGGAAGAGTTGGGTACCACTTCTGGAGAAAGGGATGGCAGGCCAGCAGTGACAAAGAAGTGGCTTTGGGGAGTTCTTTGTGATATTATAATTATTTTTAATTGCATCCTTTAAAAAAAATTAAAGCAAAGGTGAAAGTCTCCTTTGACCACTACCCCTTCTGCTTCCCACCTCCCTGTCAGTTTGGTATGTATCCTTGTAGAACATTCTCTCTCTTTTCTGTACATTTATAAGTGCCTGTGTGTTTGTGGTTTATATAAAGGTATCATGCCATGTTCATTGCTCTGCATTCTCTTACCAAACTGTCTTGGAGAACCTTCCATGGCAGGACATGCTGTACCCAATTCTTTATCTGCTGTGTGGTATCACAGAGTGTGTGTGTGTTACCCTACCCCCCGCCCCTATCCACTTTTGCCAGTTTTCAGGCAATAGACAACCCTGCAGCGATGGGCCTCCACGTGCCCAGAAGTGAGTGATTCTCTAGTGGCACTGCTGGAGTCACATGCCGTGTGTTTTTAATTTTTAGCAGAAATTCCCAAACTCCCCCCAACCCAGAGTAGCCACATCAATGTGCCCTCCTCTGAGAGGGCCCTGGCTCCCCAGTGGGGGTTTCTACAGCATCCAGGCCCTCCTTGGTGTGTGTCCCTGCGTCAGACAGCCTGAGTGCTGGTGACACCCCAGCGGCAATCCCCTGCATGATCCTGAACTAGTCACTTACCCCCCTGCAGCCTTGATTTCATCCCCACCAGGCTGTTTTGTTGTGAGGACAAAATGAGATAAAGGATGGAGGATGCCTAACTTGGGGACCTCGGGAGATGTGAATTCCTCCTCCTGTAGGGGCTGACCTCTACGGAGGCTCTTCTACCTAGGCTTCAGCCCTCTGCCCCCTTAGCCCATTTTGTTTGGCTGGCTTGGCCCAGCCCTCTGGCTGTTGAGGTCATCTCATGAGCCAGGCTTGGCTACTCAGTGTGGTTCAGGAATGACCCTCTGACCCCAGTCAGAATCCCAATCCTGGTCATTTTCTACCGTCCTTTGGGGATTTGCAGAAAGGACATGCAGGGAGAGAACACGTGTGCAAATGAAGCCAACACAAGAAAGCAGGACTGAGATGGACAGAGATTCCTGACTAAAATGATCTAAACTCCTAAATTTACCCAGCCACTCCTAGACTTCTTCATTAGATAAGCCAATGCATTCTTTCAGTGTGTGTGTGCTTGTGACTCTGAGTGGGATTTCTAAGACTTACAAACACAGAAGTCCTGCTTCATTGAAGGTCTCAGCTTACACAGCTCAGGAGAGCTTTCCTGGTCACCTTGTGCTATGGTCTAAATATTTGTGTCCCTCTGAATTCATATGTTGAAATCCCAATGCCCAAGGTGATGGTATGTGGAGGTGGGCCTTTGGGAGGTGATTAGGTAATGAGGATGTAGTGAGATTAGTGCCCTTACAAAGAGACCCCAGAGAGCTCCCTGACCCCTTCCACCATGTGAGGACACAGAAGTTGGCTGTTACAACCTGGAACAAGGTCCTCACCAGAACCCCACCATGTTTGCACCTGATCTTGGAGTTCTGACCTCTAGAACTGTGAGAAATAAATTTTTCTTGTTTACAAGCCATGAAGGCCCCCTGAGGAAGGCTTGCACTTGACTTCTAGAGAAAGGCCAGCAAACCGCACTGATCTCTCCCAGGAACTTCAAGGGTGAGGAGCCAGTTACAAGATAGGGGGCAGGTATGGGGAGCCCCTGGCAGAGGGGACAGAAAGTACAAAGAGCTAGAGTGGGGAAGAGAGCTCAACCTGTTGGAGGTGGTCAAGAGGGCCCCTCACTCCCCCAGTGCCTTCTCAAGGCTCCTGCGTCCCCTTGTTTCCTCTGTCACAGCAGCACCGGGACTGAGTCTAGCTTCTCTGCCCCCAGGCTGGGGCTCTCCTTCTGGGGTTCTCCCTGTTCCTCCTCCCTGTGTGGGCTGTGGGCTTCTCTGGCCACTGGGGGACAGAGAGGACCACCCAGCCAAAGCAGGCAGGGGGCAGAACCTGCCCCCACCACAAAAACCAGTGTCCTCCTCGAGGCCTTCGATGAATCCAAAGTAGCCCACTGCCATGTCTACAGAAACACTTTCAGTCCCCAGTAGAAACAGGACAGTGACCAGACACTGTACTCAGATTCAGAGAACAGCACAATGACACCAGCAGAGGCACAGCTGCCCAGAGGGGTCTACCCCTCCCTCCTCTTCCTCCCTCCCTCCCCTGCTTCCTCCTTCCCTCCCTCCTTCTCTCTGGCTGTCTCTGTCTGTCTCTCACACTCACACCCCATACTCTGTGCAGTCAGGAAGACAGGTTCTGACAACAGGAAGTCAGGGGGTACATCCTGAGGTCCCCAAGGGCTTCCTGGCGTTGACCCTGGTGACAGAGGCAACACAGTTTGGGGGTGGGGGCGGCACACAGGGTAGACTGGCACACAAGGAACACGCCCTATGGCAGAATAATAATTATTATTATAACAATATCATACATCCAGGACAAACCCAGCTGCCCCAAGCCAACTGCAAAATCCAAAAGTTCAGTAGCATCTCTGTGGGTAGAGGGAGGGGCTGCCTGCCTGCCTGCACCCCCAGGCCTTACTCATACCAGCTCCCCGAGGAAGAGCCGGCCCCTCTTCCTACTCATTGCTGAGGCCTGGCACATGGTGGGGAGGCTGGCACTGCCAACGCCGCCCCTCCGTGTTGGGCACACCTGCACTGGGGGCTAGGCCCACTTCCCCCTGGTGGCCTGGCAGCAAGGGATGGATGAGCAAGCCTGTAAGGGACCAAGTGGTGGCAGCTGTGGAGTGTCACTCCTCTGATTCGCCTCTCCATCCCCTCCCAGCTCTTCCTGCGGGCCTGCCCGTGGCAGGAAGGGGCCAGGGACACTCATGGCACAGACAGGGCATGCAGAGCGGGCCCATGGCATGCTTGGCCCGCCAGGTGCCATGCAGCCGGCCTGGACGGTTGGGCAGCCGTCAGAGGGCCGAGTGCGCAGTGGAGTCTGAGGGGCTCCCCTTGGGCTGGACCGCTGATTCAGTCTGTGGTGGGGCTTCCTGGGAGTTGGCTCCTTGGGCAGGCAGCTGCAGAAATTCTGGAAGCACCAGGTCCTCTTTGCGCAGAAGGCCCCTCTGGTCATGGGCTCCACTGCTCTGCACCCGGTTCAGCAGCTCCACCAGGCCTGGGGATGGCCACAGAGTCAAGGGGACCATGGGTGCAGACCCACCTATGCTAGCCTACCACAGTCCTGCTGCCCTTACTATGGCCACAGCCTCCCTGACCCCAGCACCAGTGCCCCCATCCCGCCCCCTGTCCCAGGCTTTCTGGTCCCTCAACCCCAGTGGACCCTGTTCCAGCCCCAGTGACATCCAGGCCCCTGCCTCAGCTCAAGGCTCTCTAAGGCCACCCACCCTCAACGGTCCCCAACCTTCTGGTCCCTAGCCACCATCATCCCCAATGTACCTTCAATGTCACAGGTCTGCCGCTTCCCAGTGATACTACTGGGTGCCTGGGCCAGCGAGTTCAGGGACAGTGGAGGGAGGTGGGCGGCCTTGTCCTGGATTGTAGGCGGGCCACCCTGTGAGAATGTGGGGTTAGAGCCACAACCGGAAGGGGAGGCTGGCGGGCAAAAGAGGGTGCCCAGTCCCTCGCTCACCTGGCTGAGGCAGGGCGATATGTCGCCAGCTTCAGTGATCTTCACACCTGTGGCAGAGAGGGCCACCGTTCCTGTCTGCCTCTCGCCTGGATCCCCTTCCTCTTGGGCCAGAGCTGTCCCTTACGAGCCCCTGGGCCAACGTCCCTTACCTGGGAGAGCGTCCAAAACCAATCTCTCGGCCGCCACCGAACTCACTAGCTTCCTCAGATCTAGTGGCTGCTTCTCGCCTGGCTGAGGGGACAGGTCAGCAGCCCGCGGGACAGGCAGTCCGCCCCGCTCCGCCCCTGCCCCTCGGCTACACGGCTCACCCGACGAAGCGACACCTGCTGCGGGCTCAGGCCGTGCTTCGCCAGGATGGGCTGCAGCGCCTCCTGCAGCCGCTTGGTGGGCTTGGCGGAGATCCGCACCACGCGCTCCAGCGGCGCCAACTCGAGCCTGCGCGGGACCCTGGCGCTGCGGAAGGTCGGAGAGCCCGCCGCGCCTCTCCCCCAACCCACCTGGGACTGGCCGGAGAGAGGGTGGAGCCTGAACTGGGGAGGTGGGACCTCTTGGGGGTGGGGCCTTAGCCTAAGGGGCGGGGTTAGCACCAGGGGCAGGACTTGGAGGGAGAACAGCAGCCAGAACTGGGACCCAAACGAGTGCTGGGACCCCCGGACCCTAGACTGGAGCGACAGACACTTACTCGAAAGTGATTCTGTTCTCCAGCCGCACTTCCTGGTCCGCCAGCACGGTGCAGTCCTGATCCAGGACCAGGGCCTTCTGCAGGAGCCAGGCAGGGTCTCAAAATTCCTTCTCCTTCCCTCCTCCCCCATCCCCGGGGTCTGAGGGAATAATCATCACTTCCTCCCAGGGCCTCCACTGAGGCTCCCTAAGGGCCAGAGGGAAGGGCCGGTGGTCGGGTAAGCCATAGAGATGCCGACAGAATACAAGACCGGGCTGGATCAGAGCCTAGTGGCAAGAACGCTGGACATGGGGCTTCTCTGGTGGCGCAGTGGTTGAGAGTCCGCCTGCCGATGCAGGGGAAACGGGTTCGTGCCCTCGCCCGGGAAGATCCCACATGCCGCAGAGTGGCTAGGCCCGTGAGCCATGGCCGCTGAGCCTGCGCGTCCGGAGCCTGTGCTCCGTGACGGGAGAGGCCAGTGAGAGGCCCGCGTACCGCAAAAAAAAAAAGAATGCTGGACAGACTTGGAAAAGGAACAGAGTTACGAGAAACATGGAGGTGGGGTGGGCACGAAATGGTAATGGGGCTGCTTGGTTAAGGGGTAGGCTTAAGTCCTGGAACATGGGGGCCACCTCTTCCTGAGCCAGGTCAGGATCTGCCTCCTGGACAGCTGCCCCTTGTCCCTCAGGCATGGGAAAACCAACTGGACCAGCTGGACGCATTTCCTCCCTCACCACCTACCTTTGGTCAGCCACCCAGGCCTTGTCCCTTTTTTTTACACTTGTCCACTTCTCTCCATTCCCACCTACTAAGGACACTTCTTGTCTCCTCACTGCAAAAAGGGCTTTTCCCCGCAAGACAGCTGTGAGGCCAGAAGGATGCGAAGTATCTGGCACAGTGCCTGGCACACAGTAGGTACATAAAAGTAGCTGTAGTAATTATCACCCCTGGAGGCCCTGCTGCCTGCACCAGCCCGGGGCTGGGAGGCAGCCTCTTCCAGGCAATAGGCCTGTGCTGTGCTGCAGGGACAGGTGGAGTGTGGGTGGTGAAGTTATATTTAGCAGACATGAAAACCCATCAGGGCTGCAGAGGCTGCCTGGGTGGCCCAAGAAAGTGGGCAGAGCTTCTCTTACTGTGGCCCTCATACTCCCATGCTCCAGGCCCCTGAACCTGTACTGCACTTCTTCCCACCTGTGCCTGGAATGTCCTCCCCCCACAGCTCTGCCAGGCAAACTTGTCCTCATCCTCATCAACGGCCACCTCTCCCATGAAGCCTCCTGGGACCAACCAGAAATGCCTTCCTTGACCCAGAAACTCTCTGGAACTTCAACTCCTCCTCCTGATCACATCCTGCCTAGCTCACCTCCAGCCTTTGGACCTGGAGGACAGAACTCAGCCTGGCTCCCTCTGCCCCCACCTGGCAGGGGCTTAGGACTGTTACTGGGTGAATGAAATCCTGACGCGTCTCCCTGGGATACAGCATCCTTCCTTTAGATTTCCCCTTATTGGATGGTTTAGTTTAAGTGAATTTTGCCCTAGCCTCCTCTTTAAAGCTATGCTAGTTTGTACCTAAAGGAAAGTTTTTCATAGGTTGGGTGCAGTTGGGTGCCCCTGGTGGCAGAGGAAGTAAGGGATCCCCAAATGGCCATTTCAGGGATGGGCAGTCTGAACTCTGGGAGTGACAGGGAAAAACTCAGCTCCAGCAGTGGTTTTCCCCTACTCTTCCTCCCAGAGACTATCACAGTGAGGATGATGGCTGAAGCTAGAAACCAGGATGGGAATGGGGTGGGGACAGGATTTTCATGGGATGAGAGTGGATATCTGAGTTTGAGTGAGGAGTTGGTGCTGGGTTGATTTGGAGTTGGGCATGGGGCAGGGGGCTGGAGTTAGGAAGGGGGTGGGGATAGGGGATGGGGTTGGAATTAGAAGTGGAATTGGTGTTGGGGTCATGGCTGAGCAGAGACAGGAATGGGGGTGGGTTCAGGATCAGAAAGGGAGTTAGAGTTGGGGAACAGGCCAGGTTCGCACCTGCTCATTGCCCACCAGGTAGACCTTGATGTCAGGTAGAGAGAGGCCTCGTTTCTCACAGATGCCTTCCAGCATGTCACGGATGGTGAGGCCAGGTCGGGCTAGGGCCAAGGAGGCTGTGCCATCAGGCAGGTACACGCAGCAATACTTCCCTGGTCGGCTTTCACTCTCGCCTTCTGAGCTCCCAAGGCTCTTCCGGTGGCTCTGATTCAGAGCAGGTGTCAAGGGAGGTGATGTGTACACACGCAAGGACACACAGACAGGTACACAGACAACGTAAGCTCACTGGGGCACACACAGGCATACACATGCCCAAGGGCACACTTGTAGGCAGGCAGGATACATCCTCCTACAGGAATACATGTATGCTCACCCAAACGTATGGGCACCCAGAGACAGGTCCACCCACTGACTGCTACACATGTGTTGTACACACCTGGGCACCCACATGTGCACACACATCAGCTGAAGAGGATGTGCACCCATAACATGCATGGGGCCCAATGTGGTGAGGACAGGAAGAAAGTGAGGAGGCTGAGTGGTTGGCCATGTGGATCAAGTGGAGGATGAAGTGGGGCTGGTGACTTGGAATGAGGGTGGTCACACAAAGGGGCCTGAGTAGTGGCCCGAGCCCACACCACGTCTCCCCCAGCAGTGGGCTCACCTCAGATTTGCTGCTGACAAAGGCAAGAAAGCCGAGGTCCAGACTGGCAGAGGAGTTGAGGGACCCCTGGGACTCTCGGCGCAAGGCTGAGTTTGACGCGCCGCCCCCTAGTTCTAGGGGAGAGGGAGAATGAGCAGGACAGCCCCTCCCCCAACCCCTCTGCCGGGGCCTCTCCCCAGCCAGGCGGACCCTGTTGGAGCCCTTTACAGGGGTCTAACGTGGTTTGGGTTCCTGGAAGCTTCGCTGCTGAGGGGGGCTTCCCAAACTTCTGGGGTCTAGCGTGGGAACCGAACCACCAGGGGAACATGGGGGGCACACGGGCCTGCATTTCGATTTTCACAGTCTTAGAGACTGCGGGACCAGTAGGAGGAAGGGGGTGTTCTCCAGGCTTGCCCAGACTCCCGACCCCGCTCATCTCTGCGGCCCGCTCCTGCCCTCACCTCTGCGGAAGGACGAGCGGAGTGGGCGGCCCCCAGGGCCCTCAGCAGGAGGCAGCTGCCCCAACTCCTCCACGCCCAGCGGCAGCGACTTTCCGGGCTTCAGCTTCGGCTTCTGCAAGATACAGGGAAGCCACTGGCACTGGGCCGGGCCCCACCCGCAGGCAGACCGTGGGCACACCCTCGCAGATCTGCACCCGGTCGCCTGCCCCCACAGGCCGTCGTCCGCACCTTTCTCGTGGCGTCAGGGCTGCCAAGGCGCGAAGAGCCAGGTTCCCGCAGGGGGCGACCCTCGGCCTCCGCAAGGAGGCACTCGCGGTACAGCGGGGATTTGACGAAGCGTGCATAGCTGTCAAACTTCATCAAGTTGAAGATCTGCGGAACCGGCGCCGGGGCGGTGAGCTGGAGTGGGCGCTCTGCGAGCCGCCAGAGTCCCAGACCCGGCCCTGGGGCTTGGCGGCGTCCGCAACCTAGGCAGCGAGCCCCTAGCCCTTCCTTGCTCCAGGTCCCGCCCCTAGTCCCTCCTTCACTGTCTCCTCTAGTCTTACCTCTGACCCGCGCCCTGCCCAACGTTTAGCTGGGTCCCAGCATCCAGATTTGCACTCTTCCCCACCCCATCCCCACCATCTCTGCCGCTCAAGGTCCGCCGCTGGATCTGGCCCTGCCTCTGCTCCACCGAGCTCCCTTCCAAGGCGCTGCCCCTTATCTCAGGCCGCGCCTCCGGGACCGCTCACCTGAAGCTGCTGTGCCCGGAACATGTCTGGTCGGGGCTCTGCCAGCACCTCCTCGCCGAGCCAGGCCTGCCTGTCGATGTTCACAGGGCTCAGTGCCTGGCTGGACAGAAACTCCTGGTAGATGTTCCGGGCCTCCTGAGCTAACTGGGGCAGGACGGACAGGAGAAGGTCAGGGGCATGGCTCAAGCCCTGGTCTCATCTCGCCACCTCAGTTCCCCCTTCTCCCCACCTGCTGGGTGTCGCTGGCGGGGATCTGCTGGAAGCGCTCGCAGGCCTTCCAGAATGTCACGTTCTCAGCACTGAACTCCTTCTTCAGGAACTCCTGGGGGTGGGGAGAAGGGGGCACAGACACAGAGGCGAGACACAGAGACCCAGTCAGGGGATGTGGTCCAAGAGATTGGTATAGAGAGAGGGCCAAGAGGCCAAGCCAGACAGATAGGGTCAGACAGACAGATGGGATGAGATCCGGAGGCACAGAGAGAAAATAAGAGGCAGAGAGAAGGAAACATCCCAGCTGGGAGAAGAGTAAGAGAGTGCCAAAGAAAGGCCAGATGAGGCAGCTGACAGAGGAGTCCCACTCTGGCCAGCCTGAAACTCCATCCATGCCCTCTCCCATGCCCCCCACCCTTCCCCCCATGGTGGCCACTGCCATCTGCCCTCCCTATCCCACCCCAGGGCTTACAGTGAAGTAAGCCAGGCCCAGCGGGTCCTGCAGCAGCCGCTCGAAGGACAGGCCCCAGCTGGCCACAGGCTGCTCCTCGGTGGGGAAGGGGCTGCTGGGGCCACTGGGAAGGCTGTGGATGCTGAGGGAGCTGCCTCGGCCCTCTCCCTGGCCCTGGGGCCCCGCCGTGCTGCTCAGCTCTGCAGGGGGATGGACAAGTGCAGCTGAGCCTTGCAGCCTTCCCCAGCCCCTGGCCCAATCCCATCTCAGGTACTTTTCCTGGAAAGACAGCAAATGGCAGGGGTATCCCCACGCTGTTTCCACATACACCCCCCTCAGCCCCCACCCCCACCCCAGCCAGGCTTCCTCCACATACTCTGTCACTTACCTCCATCTGAGACAGCCACAACCTACAAGAAACCCGAGGTAGAAAGTCAGAGTAGAGCCCAGGGTGGATTCTCAAGGGATAGTTCTAGGCCCAGCCCCCAGGACTGGAGCTGTGTTCTCTGCCTGCAGGACCACACTGGGCATTCTCAGCCAGGTCACTGCTTGCTCAGGGTTTTGCTCAGGCTGCCCCTGGCTCCCCTTCCATCATGTGCCAACCACTGTGTGCACTGGGACTTATACCAGGTACATCCCAGTCACCCCTGTTGACCCCCAGCACCCACTGGGTGAGCCTGGGTGTAGAGCATGGTGGGTAGGAACACAAACTTTTAATCTTGTCTCTGCCACTAACTAGTTGTATGACTTTGGGCAAGTAACTTGTTTGTCTCCATCTGTAAGTGAGGGATGATGATAATAATAGTTAACTTACTTCCTGGGCCTGCTGTGAGGATCAAATCAGTTTAATATATTTCCAGCGTCTAGAATAGTGGCCAGCATGTGGCAGGTGTTATAGCAATGTTTGCTGTTGTCTTTGAGGAAGGAGAGGTGTCTCTGTAACTGATGATCTCCTTATTGCAACTGCCTCCTCTTGGAAACACCCCACCATGGGCAGGGCATAGGATGCTATTTTATAGTAGAGAGCAGTGGCTCTCAAACTTTAGTGTGCATTAGAATGATGGCGGGGGGGAACCTCCAGAGATTCAGTTTCAGGAGAGCCTAAGACTCTCCGTTTCTGACAAGATTCCAAGCACTGATGCTGCTGGTTATGGACTATCCTGTGAGTAGCTGTAGAGGCCAATCCCTTCCTCTGCGCATCTCCCCTTCCCCCATATGCACAACTCTGGGTTCTCTGGGAATCCCAACCATTAGTGAAACAGAAAAACCCTCCTTTCAAAATGACTCTTGCAGTGGTTTCCCTCGGTCTTCCTACCTTCCTAGCAAATCCTCCAGCTTCCTCATCATCTATACACACAAGGTGGTCTCTACCCCTCTCTGACTCTGTTCTGGGCCCTTTCTCCCTCCCACATCTCCCCAGCTTCAAACACACATAGCCAACTTCCTGCTGACATCTCCACCCAAATGCCCCACAAGCCCTTCCAACTCAGCCAGTCCCAATTGGAAACCACGTCTGCCACCACCAAAGCAGGGCACGGAACCAACTTCCCTGAATCTGGTTTTCCTCCCATCACCTGGGCTCCTAACACCAGGGCTTGACTGATCCCCAGTTCCTTCCTCCCTCTCACCTCCTACATTTTCACTAGGTCCTGTCACAGGAGCTTCTGCCACCTGTCCCTTCGTTCCATCCCTACTGGAAACAAGTCTGCAAACACCTCCTCCCCAGGAAGCTTCTCCCTGCCCTCCCAGCTGGAATCTCCCTCTCTGTTCCCCAACCTGGGAGCACCCGGGTCACACATCTGTGGGCCAGAGCTGGCCTGCAAATAAGTAGGACATTATTAATATCAGAATGTTTTTGGTTTTTTTAAACTTTAAAGGGGTTTCCCACATATGAAAGTCAGGAGTTTTACATGAAACCCCAGCTACCTTGAGCTTCTTCCCAGCATGGCAACCTTGGCTGGCCCTGAGCAGCAATCGCTTTCCCTAGAAGGGTTTCACACTCTCCTCAGAGGTCTCTGGGGCCAGTTTGATGCATTTATGTTATTTATGGAGGCAGACCCCACACTACCTGAGTTCACATTTGTGCTGTGTGACCTTGGGCAGAGTACTTTACCTCTCTGTGCCTTAGTTTCTCCCTCTATACAGATGGGGCAAATAATGGTCAGGACTTCAAAGGCTTGCTGTGATTAAATAAGTTAAATATACATAGAAAGAGAACTCATAACACTGTCTGGCATGTGGTAAATATTTAAGGAACATTACTATTATTGTTGTCGCATTAGTATTGGTGTCTGGCCCTGCTTCAGCTTTCAATTTTGCCAAGCCCTGCGGTAGAGGGAAGAACACAGGGATCGGGTCTGTCAGACATGGATTCAAATCCTAGCCCTGTCCTTTTCTAGTTTTATAACCTTGGGCCCCTCCCTGAGCCTGCCTCCAAGCTGGAGCACAGGGCTAAGACATTATGGAGGAGGAGGGAAAGCTTGTGCAGAGGGAGGCTGGACGTGGAACTACCCTGCACGCCCTCCCCTGGCTGCCCCAGCCTTCGCCTTCCTGCCTTTGCACTTGCCCATCTCACAGCTTCATAGGAATTCTCTCCCGGGGCTGCAGGACAAAGTCTCAACTCCTGGGGTGTGTGAAGGGGACAAGTTGAAGCCCAAGGTCCCTTCCAGCTGTTCTTTCCCTTTCCTGGCCGCTGCCCTCATGCCTGCACCTGCCTGTCCCACGTTCTTCCTCCCCAGGCTGCTCTGTGGCTGTTCCCAGCCTTGGTTACTGCCCTCCGTCCAGGTCTCCGGGAACCATCCTGACTTTCCCCTCCCACTCTGCGGTGGCCACCTGGCCCTCCCTCTTCCCCGCACCCAGCACACACCGGGCCTCTCGCTGGCCCACCCTCCAACCCAGGACTCAGCTTCTCCCTTGCTCAGGGCTCTCCACGGCACTTTTCGTGTGTCAGGGGGTGGGGCACGGGATGCTCTTGGGCAGCCCAGGACCCCAGGGAAGGCAGAGGGCTCTGGGCTTGGCTTCACTCCTATTTCGTTTTGTTCTTTACATCCTGTTGAATGGATTGTGTCTTTATGTGGGGCTGGCTCCCAGGCCCTCTTCCGGCCCCACTCCTCACTCTGGGAGGCAGAGCAGTTGCTGGGTTACCGCTGAAGCTCTGCCTGAGCCTGACTAATAAACCCCTTCAGCCTCCCCCATTGCCCTCCCCCTCACCTCCACCCTACACTTCATCAAACTTCTATTTTCCCCACGCCCCTTCACACTCCTGCTTCCTGCTTTACTATTTCCTCTGCCTGGTATCTGCTCCTGCTTCCCCCACCTTACAGCTCTCCAGTCTCTGCCTGTTGACATCAGTCTTCCCTAAACTCCAGTTGCCCCGAATCCCCCTGCCCACCACACTGCTGCCCACCTATTTGTAGGCCTCTCCCCTACCAGCCTGTAGCTCCTGGAGGGCAGGCCTATACCGTAGGAGAGAATCAGCCTGAACTCCCTCCTCAAAGAGCACCCTCTTTGCCCAGGTGCTCCCAAGCAGCCACAAGGGCCCAAGTTGCCCTCCCCTGCCCTCACAGGAGGCGCTGGCACCCCCTTTGCCAGGGATGCTTTGACTCCGAATGCCCCATGCAGTTCTTCCTGGGCCCCTCTAGATATTAATAACCTGGTCTGAGACAGGACGGAGATCCAGAAGTGGCAGGGAGCGGGGATGGGGTCCAATTCCAGATTGACCATTCTGAGGCAAGTAACTTCCCTTCTCTGGGGCTCAATTTCCCCCTGGGTAGCATAGGGCTCAGCATTCCCAACCTCCTGGAGCTGCCAGGAAGGGTGAGTCAGCGAGGCCCCATTTGTGAATGTGGCAGGTGTGCAGCAGGGAGAGTGGCATGCTGCTGCTGCCGCTGCCTGGGGCTCTGATCTGCCCAGGCTCCTGGGTCTGGGGAAGTTGTGCTGAGCAGGGCTGGCCTTGCCCCACCCTGGCTTGCCTGAGGAGAAGTGGTGAGTGAATGGGAGAAAAGGGGAAGAAAGGAGGAGGAAGGGTGTGGTGGCCAAGCGGCAACCCCAACCCATGGTCTGGACTCAGTTTGCCAAACATTTTTCCTTGGAAATGGGCCCTGGGGGAGCCACTGGTATCTGAGAATACAAAGATGAGGGTGACCCGACATTTCCTGAGCTCTCCGACAGAGAGAGAACATGGACGGCACACATCCATGTCACACATCCAACCTCACATCCTTATCCTATGTGGCAGGTATTATTACGCCCATTTTACAGATATGGAAACCTTGGCCCAAAGAAATCACACAGCTGGGAAGTGCCTGAGCTGAAATTAGGGCCAAAGTGTGCCTGACTCTGGAAACCTAAGGTCTCCCCTCCACTGAGCTGCCTTCCTGGGTGAACAGCAGACGTACCGGGGACCTGGGAGCCCCAGGGCCTCAGCCCTTGTGGCATAGATGGGCAAGGTCGATTGGGGTAAAGGGCTCAGGGGCTCCTGGATGAATTCTGCCCCCTGGAGGGGTGACTTCAAAGGGAGGGCTGATTTACTGAGCGTCTTCTGGGCTTGGCCCTCTATATCATCATCTTATTTCATCCTGGCTTGGGGTGACTGAGGCCCAGAGATCCTCTCTGGGTAGACCCACTGAGAACCCTGGCTGCCTGGCTCTTCAGCCTGAGTCAGCTTTGTGGAGCTGGCCTATGGCCCTGAGCTAGACTCCAGGAATGTAGGCCAAGGTACAGTGGGCTCTGCTTTCCAGGTCTTCCTGTGCAGGGAGACTAACTGGGCACCCTGAGAGTGACAGGATGCAATAACTGCTCCTCTCCAGGCTTTAGGCTCGCCAGCCCTTGGGCCTTGTCCCTGTACACACATCATGTTTCCCTGCGTGTAGGCCTTTCCCCATGCTGTTCCCTCCTCCAGCTGGCACATCCTTTCAGGACATCTTCCACACCAACAATGCATGAAGTGAGTGGAGAAGTTTGTTCTCCCTCCCGGTCTTCCTCAAGCTTTCTCTATTCCTGACTTACTGCTCTTATTCAAACCTTAATTTTATTCTGGTATTTGCGCTCATGCCTTTTGTGCCTTGCCAGACCAGGAGCTGTTTGAGGGCAGGGCCTAGGGCGATGGGCCTTGGTCTTGATGCCTGGGACAGGGCCAGCACTGAGCAGGCCCTAAGGAGGGATTGTTGAATGAATGCATGAGTGAACAAATGAAGTGGGAGTTGGGACTCTGTGAAGGCATCTCTGGGAGGGAGGCTGGGAGCCATCTGTAAGTGACAGGTTTCATTGCAACCCCCTGACAAGCTGAGTGGCAGAAAGACGAGGCTGACAAATGAAGTTGCCTCAGCAGGGAATGACGGTGGTGGTGGGTGGGGTTGGTGGCAGGAGGAGATGGGGGAGGACGAAGCCAGGCAGTTCTGGGAGGTGGAGGAGACCTGGCGTCGAGTCAGATTGGCCTGGTTCAAAAGCGGGTCCCTCTCTTGCCAGCTGCCCTTAGCATGTCATGTACTCCTTTGAACCTCCCTTAGGAGGTGACTCATGGAAGGAGGCTGACAGCTGGCCTACATCTATGCACATCCGATGCTGGTCTGTCCCTCCCTGTCTCAGCTGAGTGTGGCCTCAGAAGGCTGCCCGATGGCCAGCAAGTGGCCAATCTGTGACCCTCCGGATTCCAAGAGGTGGCACAGAGTTCAGAATGGGCCCGGAAAGGGACCCATGTATCTGTGGACAGATACATTGCATGCATGGTCATGCACACACAGACCCTTCAGGTGTACAGGTTAGAAACACACAGGTTCTCCCTCGTCAGGAACACCTGAGCGTTCGGTCATATGTATGCACATATGTAAACCTGTGTGTGAACGTCGCTGAGAAAAGCAAGTCCATGGGCTTGCAGGGCTGGGGGTAGAGCTTGGGGGCCTTCCCTGCTCTGAATGACTCTTGAGTAGAGAAGCTATAGGTTGATGTGGGATGGGCAGAGGCTGGGTCTGTCTCTGGGCCCCCTCAGCTGCCCTGCAGTTCTGGGCACTGCCCAGAAGCAGCAATCCAGTTGCCCTCTGGGGTGGGCGTGGGAGTGGGTGTGTTCCTCCTTGGCCTGGATGCTTTGGGAGGGGTGAGCCAAGCATCATGCCTCCAGAGAGTGCGAGGCCCATGGATGCTCGAACTTCCAAAGTCATTTTGATGGTAGAGATAGTGAGGTGGGGGACATGGCCAGCTTGGAGGGATTTGCCTCTCTCCTGCCCAATAAAGAGATGCTGGAGGAAGAGGTATGGAGACAGGTCTTGGGAATTAGGAGGAGGAGTAAGGGTGGGGAGTGGCTCAGCTTCTTGGTGAGGCAGGGGATCCTTGAAAAGGGGCTGAGAATGAAGGGGGGCATTGGGCTGACATTTATGGAACCCCCATGGTGGGTCAGGGGGCTCATATTCATTATTCCACTTAATCGTCTCAGCAAGCCTTTGAAATCCCTTTCAAACTCCTCCTTTTATAGATGAAGAAACTGAGGGTCAGAGAGGACCCTCTAGTAAGGGACAGCAGAGCTGAGATTAGAACCCAGGTCTCTCTGGACCCATTGGCTTTGTCCCACAGTACTAGGCTGGGGCTGGGTAGGTGACTAGGACACTGGACTTTCTGGAGTTTTTAGGAGGGGCTGGGACTCTGCCAAGTGGCCTGGTGTCCTAGGGAGAGAAGAGAAGACCGACACAGCCAGTTCCATCTGCTGAAGCGGGTCTCTTCAAGGGCAGCTCTCACCTGGATGCCAAGCAGCCAGGGAGAGGATTTAGCAGCAGCCAGGGGCACCCTAGTGCTCAGCTCCCCCCACCCGTCCTAGTAGCCCAGGAATAGAACAGACAGAAGCTGTGCCAACCGGGCCTGACCCTGCTGACCCATCCCAGGCTGCCCAAGGACGGCTAGTTCTGGCAGGAAGCCTCTGGAGTAGGTCTAGGTGGAGGTCAGTGACCCATTAAAGGCTGCCCCTTACCTGACCTTGGGCATCAGGACACTGGGTGAGGGAGGGGGCTGAGGTTAAGTGAGGTATGGGGGCTTGGGTCCCCGTAGGGGTATACAGGGGGCAAAGGGCATGCCGGGACTCCCTGCTACCCTAGGATGCAGTCAGCCCCAGATGGTGCCAAAGTAGTAGGTAAGAGAGCAGTGGGGACTGGGCCAGAAGCCTATGCCTGCTCTCCTCTGGCCTCATCACCGGAGTGGCCCCAGGTCCCCATCAGAACCATCTGGAAGGTCCTGGGATGAGGGTGCCAGGTTCTACCACCTGCTGCTGCCTCTCCCCAACTTCTCCTGCCCGATGGCAGCATGCAGGCTCTAGCCCAGCCCTGCCGGGTGTGCCTGTTGGGCTCCACCCTGGGTGTGCCCACCCCCTCCCTGTGGGCCTGGCCTGGAGCCCGCACTCACCATGCGTCCGTTGGGGACGCCCAGGTGCTTGGGCTTCCCTGGCATGCCGCTGCTGTTCACGGGTCCCCACTGCGGGGGGCGCCCACCATGGGGACTGTAGGCAGCTCTGGCCAGAGCCTGCACGGCGAAGGGCAGGCAGCAGAGAGAGAGCCCAGCTCCGCTCCTGCGGGCCCTCACATCCTGAAACACCAGCTCACTACCTCTTTTCTCTTCCACAGGAAGTGTCTCTATAGAAACCGAACCACAGAAAGAAGCAAGGTCTAAGAGAGCGAATGTTTCTTCCTACACACACACACACACACACACACACACGCGCGCGCACGCACACACACTCACACGCACATACACATGCTGCCAATGCACCCTTGGCAGTGCCCCATGCAGGCACCAACACACAGCAGAGGCCTCTGTGTGCCCAACAAGGAGCCCAGCCTGGTCTGGCCCAGCCTGGGGAGTTCCAAGGGCACATCTGGGCACACAGAAGTACACATTCACACACCTAGGCAACTTCATACACCCTGCAGGGGCTACCATAGACACAGTGACATGTGTACTGTGATGTAAGTGTCCAGTTACGTACTTTACTTAGCACATACCTATCCCACACCGGCTGTGTGCTTGGCATGTGCACACTCAGCACCCCTCCCCCGGCAGTTGTGCACATGCAGTTACTACCTCTGTCCTGAGACATCTCCAGGCTGTCCTTTGCAGGCCTGTTCCTGGGTGTGGACAGATACATTGCATGCATGGTCATGCACACACAGACCCTTCAGGTGTACAGGTTAGAAACACACAGGTTCTCCCTCGTCAGGAACACCTGAGCGTTCGGTCATATGTATGCACAGCCCTTCGGACATGTCCATGTGACAGGCACATCTGCCTGTCACATATGAACACAGGCACATATGAACTCAGACACCCCAGTGACATGTGCAACCAAGTATGCACACGCTCGCCCACCTGGGCAGGGAACAAATAAGGTGCATCTGTGCCCAAAGACACGTGTGCGTTTATAGTCATTCACATAAAAGTCCTACCTTGGTGTAGTACTGTCGACTGAAGAGGGACACCCTGCTTCCTCAGCCTGGCCCAGTCCTCAGTTGGCCTCTTTCTTACATGTGCATGTACCCACTATGGGACTTGTATTTTACCTAAGTATGGGCTTACTTAGAGCCCTCAAGTCACCCACCACTCCAGTTTGGACCCCTCTTTCTACAAGGATAAGGTGACATCCCTCTTTCATATTCTACCCTCTACTCCACTGCCCCCTTCTAGGGCCATGACCCAAAACCTTCAGAGGTGGAAACTGAGTGATTCTTCACCACAAATTCATGTCCTAGTCCTCCTGGGCACACAGCTAAACTTTAATTTCCCAGGCTCTCTCACAGTCAGGTGTGGCCATGTGCTAACTAGTTCCCGCCAACTGAATGTGAGTGGAGTGATGTGTGCCAAGGCTTTTCAGCCCTTTGTGTCCTCCACATTCTCTCCTTCCCCTTTAGCTGACTGGATACAGAAGATGATGAAGCCCTAAGGGCTTGTGGAGCCACAAAAAGGAAGGAGCCTAGGTCTCCACATTAGTGTAAGAAGACAAGCCATCCATCAACCAGGAACACCAGCCTTGGACTGTTAAGGGAGAGAGAAATCAACTTCTTCTAGCTGTTTTACACATTAGAGTCTATTTGTTATAGCAGTTAGCATTATCCTAGTTAATATAGCTCTTCACCCAGTCCTAACTCACTTCTTTCCAGACACCTTGTTCCAGGTCAGACAGACAGAGAGATTCAATAAAGTCAGACTTGGTGTGTGTATTGGGAGTTGCATTTGGGCCTGGAGCATTGCCAATGGTGGTCTTAATAAGGTGCATGACGGTGTCAGTATACCTGTGATGGGGGGTGGCTGTGTCATGGATCCGGGCCTAGCCTCATAGGGGGTTTTAAAGTTTACAAGCTCTCCCCCCTAACATGACCTCTAGACCAAACATTCATTCTTTCACCAATTACTTATTAATCAACTTCTATGTGCCAAGCACTTTTCTAGATGCTGGGGATTAAGTAGTGACTATAGCTGATAAAAATCTAAGCCCTCATGGAGGTCTAGTGAAATGCACATGTCCTTGTTTGCACAGATACAGATAAATCTCTGAAATATACATACATATATATCTCGCTAATTTTAAAAAGATGTCTCAGCACTTAATCCTGAAGAAATTCATTCATTCAACAGGACAACTTCTTAAAGGAGCAGGAAACCAACTGTCCCACCCTGTGATCTATAACAGGGGTCATTAATTCAAGCGTCTAGAAGGGCCAGGCAGGTGCTGTAAATTAGTGGCCAGAGTGGAGACCAGCTTAGAAAAGTAAGGCATTTTTAGCAGGGCAGCCCCATGAGCCTAGTGTGGTTGGGTCTTCCAATTTTTCCTGAGAAGCTGGAAACTTGGATTTTTAATTTGAATTTGTCTCCTGATTTAAAATATCGGTAGTTAAGTCATTTACTGAAATAGCATCAGCAAGAGCTCTATTTGGCTGTGGGCCACCAGTTTTCCACCTTTGCTCCACGGCCAGCTTTCCCGGACCTTTCCTGGACGCTTCCTGCTGCGCCAGGCAGGCACTATAATCGTTTGGATACGAATGGGCCCCAGCTATCACTGGGACGGGATTCGGGTCTGCTCCTCCTGCTGAAACCCAACTGGGCCTGAGGAACTGGGAATGCTGGACGCCATCAAGTAAAGGAATTCTGTTTCCAAAGGCGTGGAGCCAGAAATGGCTAAAAAGTCTCGCCCTAGTGAGTTCTATGCGGCGCGGGAGTTGGAATTCTAGTCTCCGCCTTCAATTTAGAACTCACTTCTGCTTGGACTGGGAAAGGTTACTCCAGGGACGCCACCAGTGGCCAGAGGCCAAGAGAGTTCTAGGCTTCGTCTTCCCAGCCCGCGCGAGCGGCCCATGAAAACTACAAGTTCCAGCATGCCCCACTTCACAGACGACCCTCACGCTGCCCGCCGACACAAATCATCTCTCTGCTCCCCGTTGGCCCACAAGCCGAAAGTGCTGTTCCATGATTGGTTGCTGCTCTTGTCGCTCATAAGAACCCACTGCTGAGGCTGGCTGACAGGTGCCTCGCAGCCGCCAAGGCACTCGACCAGGATGGGAGGCTGCTCAGCAAATACAGCCGCCGTCTCCACGTCAGCGAGGCTTTACTTTTGCTGGCAGTTCCCAGGTGACACTAGGGTTGGAGGGCTTCCGGCCGGAGGCTATTAGATGGAACACCCGGAAGGCGGAAGTCCTAAGACGGAAGTGGTCGAGAGGAACGGAGAATGGCGGCGGCGGCGGTGGCGGCGGCAGGCTGGGTTTGGCGCTGGGGCTGGGGCCGGCGATGCCCGGGGAGGCCTGGGCTTCCCGGCCCCGGCCCTGGCCCCACTACACTTCTACTTTTTCTCCTGTTTCTGGGGCCGGTGGCTGCCGATATAACTGACGGCAACAGTGAACACCTCAAACGGGAGCATTCGCTTATCAAGCCCTACCACGGTGAGGCCTGGGGCGGGAATGAGTTCAGGGTGAGGGCGAGGCTGGATGGGGTTGGGGAAGGGGTGCCCTTTTTCCTGGTCAGAGCAGTTATGTGGGTTCTCTGCCTCTGGCAAAGCGAGTCCTGGCCTGGCCTTTTACGCACCTGTCTGTGCCCGTGTCTCTGCCCACAGGGGTCGGTTCCAGCTCCACGCTCCTCTGGGACTTCCAAGGCAGCACAATGCTCACGAGCCAGTACGTGCGTCTGACCCCTGACGAGCGCAGCAAAGAGGGCTCTATCTGGAACCACCTGGTGAGTGGTTCCCAAGAGGCTAGGCAGAGCATTAAGTAAGCCACTGCAGTCAGCAGCCTAGACCTGAGCTTAGTTTGAATGCCGCCCTTCCCTCCTCCGTCCCCTTCCCCATCTTGGTCACACCCGCCAGTAATAACAGGTAATGACAATTGAAGTAACCATGTGTAAGGAGCTGTGCTTGACATTTCGTACACTCTTCTTACTTCGTTCCTTCAAAAGCCATGTGAAGTAACTGATGTTATCTCTGTTTCACTGACTAAGAAGCTAAGACTCAGAGTTGAAAGTGCCTTCCCCAAAATCACATAGCCAGTAAGTAGTGGGGCTGTCATCTGCCTGAACTGAACCCTCTCATTAGTGGGATAAGTGGAACGAGTGGGGTCTTCATTGGGTATTTTTTGTGTGTTAGGCACTGACTTCAACGTGCCTTATCGCACTTAATTCTCAAACAGACTGATGTAGATGGCTATCCTGAGTTTTTGCAGAGCTAACAGACAGCGAATGGCATAAACAACGTTTAAACTCTGATCTGTCTCATTTCCAAGCCCAGCAATTCATTTGCTACACTTGACCCAGCCTGGACAGTGGAGGAACCCCTTAGAAATACTTGCAGACTCAGTCCCCTTCCTTAGTGCTTGATTGAGGGTCTAGTCATCAGTGGACTCATGGGCAGTTTAGTTTCTGTGACCTTTGCTGTAGAGGTTAGGGAGCCTCAGGTGTCGCTGGTGTGTCATATATAAGCAGTGGCCAAGATCAGCTGCTGCACAGACTCCACACCAAGGAAGGTCAGGAAAGGGGTGAAAGGGGAATAATTGGGGGCAGAATGTACTCCTTCCTCAGCCTGCCTGATCCCAACCGTTCCCATGGCCTAAGCTGTTGGCGAGTGTCCTAGTTTTCTTTGTTACTCTGCTCTTTGGTCCCTTCTGGATGACGTCCCCATTTAGTTCTGAGAGCCCACACTGTCCTTGTGTTGCCTCATCTGCCTGTTACCTCAGCTCCACCTCTCCTTCCAGCTAGGGGCATCTGGGGATACTTTGTTTAGCTTTCACTCTGATCCTCAGAGCCTGGGGTCTCCTGTGAAGGGACAAACATGCATTATGTCTGCACAGTCCGGCCTCTAGTGCCTGACATTTCCAGTCATTCGCTCTGTTAATTTTGTTCCAGCCTCTCTGGCTGCCTTCTTGCCTCAGGACCTTTGCACTTGTTACCTCTGTCTGGGACACTGTCTCCAGTCTCTTCATGCTTGCTTGGTTTCTTCTTATCTGTTAAGTCTCAGCTCGAGTGCCACCCACTCAGAGAG